CCGGATGACTACCGGAAAATTTCTTCTTGCTCCACCGCAAAAGAAATGTGGGATAAGCTTGAAGTGACATACGAAGGTACGCCTCAAGTCCGTGAAGCTAAAATTGATTTTCTAACCCATGAATATGAGTTGTTTAAAATGAAGGAAATTGAAAGCGTTGATCAAATGTTCGACCGATTTTTAAAGATCATCAACGATCTCCATGTCCTTGGTAAAACATTCTCGAACAAAGATCTTGTTCGAAAAATACTTCGGAGCCTAACACCGGAATGGCGTTCAAAAGTCGATGCCATATATGAGTCGATTGGTAACACCAATGTCACCATCGATGGTCTTCGAGGTAATCTTAAAACTTATGAATCTACTATTCTTAAACCTTTTCTTGACAAGAGTGCCGGTCTCGCTCTCAAAGCCTCATCCTCAAAAAGGGTGGAGGTAAGTGACTCCGATAACGATGACCATAATCCTTTTTATAACTTGCTCGAGAAGTTCCAAGAGTTTTTGAAGGAAGAACTTGGGTCCCGAAATTGTAAAAGAAAGGGGGAACCCGTTCCAACGTGCTTTGGTTGTGGTGAACTTGGCCACATAAAGCCATATTGCCCAAACCGAAAGGAAAAGAAGAAGAAGGAACGAGCATACATGGCATGGGATTCGGAAAGTTCCGGTGACGAAACCGCCACCTTATGTCTTATGGCTCATGAACGAAATGGAGAGGTAAGTACTTCTAAATCTTTCTCATTTGAAGAATTACAAGAAGCCTTTCAAGCATTATTTGGTGAATTGAAAAAAACTTCAAAAATTGCCAAAGAGGCTAAGGCAAAAATTCATGCTTTGGAAGAGGAAAATAAATTTTTGGAAAATGATAATTTTGACCTAAAAAATAAAATTAAGGCAATGAATGAAGATTCTTTCTTTGACCAAAGTTCTACTTGTTCCTCTTATGAGTCTTTAAAAGTAGAGAATGTAGAACTTAAGAGCACCATTGAAAAAATTAAGGTAGAAGAGCCTAAGAAACTTTGTCAAGAAGTTAAGAATGATAAACAACCTAGAAGAACGAATAATCCTAGGTATAACAAAATTAATTTTAGAAAGAATAAAAGTAACAAGGTGAGACAACCTAGAATTGACTCTAGAATTTTTACAAATGGTAGAAATATTTTGAGACAACCTAGAAATGAGTCTAGGAATTTAGTTTATAATTCTAGGAATAATGATTTTAGATACCCTAGAAAGTTTTTGGCTCAACCTAGGCATATACATAATCCAAACGTAGTATGCCATTATTGCTCTAAGATAGGACACATAGCTCCTGTTTGTTTTGCTAAACATAGGGACACTTCTTATAATTATGATTATGATTTTTATTTGCCTAACCTCCAAGGACCCAAAAGCTATTGGGTACCTCAATGGTATTACTAGATACACAAAAGGGTGTGCTTGAAGACCACAAACTTGTAGTGGATGCTCCAAGCACAGAACCCAATGAACCGCATCAAGGGGGAAGCTCGTTTTACGACATTGTTGACAATTGATGCTCCAGGACATTTTCAAACATCGATGTTCAGTATCAAACATCAATGTTCAAGGAGTTTTTTTTTACAATTTTTTAAAGTGCTTTTTGCTAATGTCAAAAGGGGGAAGATAAAAAGATTATGCATAGATTGAGGGGGAACTTTTTCTAAGGCACAATTTTTTTTAAAATATAAAAATAAACTCTTGTTCAAAACATAAACCTTGTTGCATTTGTTAAGGGAAAACATTTCTCAAAAGTCTCAATATGTTCAAAGTCTCAAAACAATCCTCCTATGCATAACCCCGTCTTGTTTGCCATTATCAAAAAGGGGGAAATTGTTGAAACACGGGTTTATCGCTTTATCGTACTAAAGCCCTGTTCATTTTTATGACAGATTTTGATAATGCCAAACCGCCGTGAACAAGACAAAGTGTTGAATATACAAGGCGAGAAATGAAGATGAGAACAAGAGCTAAAAGAGACCAAGAACGAAGACCATAGTTTTAGTGTCGTTGAGTCGGTCACAAATGTGATCAAGACCGACCCAAGCCTTACACTTTGGCTCTTTAGGCTAAAACCTTTTATTGCATTTCTCATATCATAAAAATGATTTTCAAGCATGTTTAAACACATTAAAAACACTTGATGTTCGCCCAAACCAAAAACCAAATCATCCAGCATTCGGCTTTCAGAAACCGGCGTTCGGCATACAATTATTGGCGTTGGTTTTTGGCGTTCGAACCAACCAAGTGGTTTTCAAAATTTTATGATTTTTTTTACTTCTGGGCACTCTTAAATAGTTCTCCAACAAAAACGCTTCAAAAACCACCTCTCGTTTTTGGTCGTTTGGCAAAAACCACGCGAAAAGGCATAAACTTGGCTAGCCGTGGTTTTTACCTTAATGAAGTGGTTTTTAAGTTATTATACTTGGTTTCTACATAAAATACATTAAATAAGTGTTTTAAACACTTAGTTTTTACTTTGGAGAACTTTGCATTTTTCGGTCGGGTTTCAGCGCCGGTCAGCTAGGCCATGGTTCTGGGCTAGCCATCTACCCAGCGATGGTAGATATCACCCATCCATGGGTAAGTGATCCCGGGATTCCAGAATCATGCCACCCAGCGATGGGAGATATTACCCATCGATGGGTAAGCAGCCTTCAGCTCAACTGATTTCCAGAACCATGCCAAACAACGATGGGAAGTTCTACCCATCGCTGTTTAAGCCTTGGTCCAACATTTTCACAAGGCAGAATGCCCTTACCCAGCGATGGGAACCTTTACCCAGCGATGGGAACCCAGCGATGGGAGGGCATACCCATCGCTGGTTAGGCATGACCGTTGTGAGTCATTTAAGCCTGATTCTTTCCTTGTTTGAAAGTCAACCTCCTAACCAGCGATGAGAAGTGCTTACCCATCGATGGGAAGGTGACCGTTGCATTCAAAACTGAAGGAAAATGGGCTTACCAGTGATGGGTAGTTCCATACATCGCTGGGTAAGCTAATTTCCTGCAGATCCACTTTAATTTCAATCCCACAAATCATGGTAATCACCCTTAAATGTTTTGATCCGTTGGAGCTTACTTTGGCACTATAAAAAGGGGTGTTTGGGTCTGCTTTACACACCAATTCACTTCACATTACACATATCATCATTGCATCCAAACAACATTATTTTCCTTAGCTTTCTAGAGCCAATTTGTGAAGTTTTGAGTTGTTTTTGAGCGTATATAGTTTACTCAACATCTACTCTTAAAGAGAGTCTTGTTCTCGAGTGTTCTTAGTGTTGTAAACACGTTTAGGGAAGCTTTTTTTTTTCTTGGTTGTTCGAAGGAAAGGTATTTTCCTTCGGGTTGAAGTCTTGGAGTGCGGTATCTCCGAGCAAGTGTTGTTGTGGCTCGTGGGACTTGAGTTCTCAGGTTGTAACGGTTTGTTAAGCACCCGTAAGCTTAACGGAAGTAGTGTAGCTCGAGAGAGTGTCTCGGGAGACTGGATTAGCCCCCTTTTGTGGTGAACCAGTATAAATCTTGGTGTGCTCCCTTTACTCCTTTTTATTCCGCTCTTTACTTTATCCCTGCGATTTTTATTCCACGAAAATTTATAAACATTCTCGTGCCTCACTATTCACCCCCCCTCTAGTGAAGGGCACTTATTCTAACATAATATAAATCTAATAATAATAAATTTTGTACTAATTCTCAATTTCCACTAATAATGAATATAATTCTAATAATAATATTAAACAACATCTATTTGCACTAATTCTCAAATAGATGTTTCTCCACTTTTTGTGCCAAAGTGAAGTAGCACTAGAAGAGATGATAATCCACAGTAGTACTCTTGGGAGCATCTTCTTTTCTCTCTCACTTTTTTTTGTATGAGATTAGTGTTATCTATAAGCAATCTTTAAACCCTAACTTTATATATGAGCAAACTTTAAAAATAGGATTAATTCTCTCCCTATATTCTTTTTTTGTTTTACTCCACATTCCCAAAAATACTTTTAAGTAATATTTTTTTCAATTCAATTTATATATAAATAAAACTAAAAACAAAAAATACTACTACATAAAGTTTATAAATTTTTTACTCCCTGTGTCTCAATTTTGATTATAATTTTATTTTATCTCTCCTCTCGATAGCTTTTATTTATTTGTGTGTTTTCATTGATTATTTGATAAAATAAATTTTTTTTCACACCTCTTATTTTGTAGAACTTTGGACGTATTTTTTTTTACGGGAGTAAGGGAGTAATTTTTTTCTTATAGATGTACCGATTTATTAAAAAAATTATTTCAAACATCGTAAAATTTTACCTCGTAATACTCATTTTTGTCATCAAAATAGGGACGAAGAGCGATTAATATTCCAAACAAAAATGTAATGAAACAAAAATTCTTAAGAGTATACTCGGTATTAATTTATGAAAGGAATAATAAAAGCAAACAAATAAAGCCAACAAATCAAACTCTAATTAGTCCGTACTCCATGATTAAAAGATGGAATAGTAGGAACTTTTGTTTCACCTAGACCATGGGCGACTTTGACTGGCGCAGGCGCATTACCGTCGTCCGCCTATTATGGATTACTCCCTTACTCCCGAAACAATATTTCCATTCTACTCTTCCGTCCTGAAAGGTTTTTCTCGTTTCTATTTACGATGTTTGATCGACTTTATTTAAATTTAATTTATTTAATTATATTTATAAAATTAAAAAATAAAATTTATATATTTAAATAATACATCAAAAAAATTACATTCATTAAAAAAATTACATTCATAAACAAATACATTCATAAAAAAGTTACATTCATTAAAAAAATTACATTCATAAAAAATACATTCATAAAAAAATTACATTCATTAAAAAATATTACATAAAAAAAACAACACTACAAAAAATTACTAATTATTCGAGCGACTAAAGATATGTTCGATCAAATCCGCCGTTAGTGCATTGTGAATCTCTCGGTTTCGAATTTCTTGGCGGTTTCTTCGTTTCTTTTCTTCGGTGATTTCTTCGTACATTTTTTCGTTGGATGAAGATGATCCCATTTTTAAAATATATTTTATAAATATTTATAATAAATAATAAATATTTTAGAGAGAATATAGAGAGAAATGTGTGACAGAATGATTTTTTAGGGGAATTTATAGTTTTTTTTTTATATTTTGATTTTTGGGGGGGGGGCGACTATATATCCGTTTTGGGGGGGTAACGACTAAAAGGGATGCTGAAACCGCGTCAAACGAATGACGCGGAATGGGTGACGCCGGGGTAACGCCGCCGGGGGCGGTGTTTAAAGCCCCTGGGGCGTGAAAAGCACTATCACGCCGGTAGGCGTTAGGAGCATTTCCACTGCTCTAATAAGAATAAGTAATGAACAGAAAAAGTAAGTTGAACAGAATGCTGCCCAAGTACATTTATTTTAGCGCCCTAATTGTTACAACAAGAGATTTATTGGCAACCAAGGTTTAGGTTAGAACGAGGTTTGGAAACTTAATAAGGAAAAGATTAATGTTATTAGTCAGCTAATTCAAATTTCTAACTCCAATACTCTTTAGGAAACCCCTTCGGGTCAAACTGACCCTAATATTTAGGAAACTAATTAATGAAATGAGTTCAGGTATTCCTAGTAATTTGTAACCCTACAAGTGAGATTCCCCTAACTGTCCAAAGGCAAAAGACCCTACTAAAGCATTCTATTTTCTCCACATGCACAATCTTCTCTCACAAAACTCACAGAACAAGAAAAATGTGTCTGGGAAATCAAAGGAGTGAGAGATACCAGGCTACCAGCCTTACTCGAGGCCTAATACTTCTTCTTCATCTTCAGTAGTTGATGGCTACTGTTGTCCGCCACACCAAGAAGTTCTGTTTAGGCACATGGCTCGAATTCCCGTAAACTACACAGTTACTAGGTATGAAATCGAGGTGACCCAATGGATAATCGACGAGAGTCGTAATGAAGAAAAGGAGGAGGAGGAGGAGGAAGATACCGAAGAGTTAGCGGCGGGCGAGGCTGAAGACGTGTCAAAGTGTTGTTTCGAGACGAGGACACACTGGGGCCCGGTTGAGGACGACGGGGAGGAAGCAGAAGTGTGCTCGATTTGCCTGCTGGAGTACCAAGATGAAGAGACGGTGGCCGAAACACTTCAATGCGGACATGAGTATCATCGAGATTGCATCAACAAGTGGTTGTCGAAGAAGAAGAAGAAGGCTTGCCCTTTCTGTAGAGCAACAAGGCGGCCCTTAATGCAATTAGTTAATGATTAGGCGCACAAATCTCGATTAATTATTCTCTTACTTTGTGATTTGTTGATGTATGGAAGTTTGTACTCATATTCTTACTTTACTTGATGCCCTTTTGTAATTTTCTATTTGCGCTATGAGTTAGAATCCCATAACAGAGGGCAATAACTTGAATTGGTTCGTTTTCCAAAAGACAACAAAAATTACAACTAATAAACTACCAATCATATTGTTGTCCGGGATTATATATCTAGATTCAAGATTAAAATAAAACAATTGTTATATTGGAGAAGAGAACTGTTGGTTCTAACTCCATGCATGTACAACATGTGAGATTTGGGGTTCTCTGAACAAATATTCCCAAGCTCATATGTAAAATTGATAACAAGAACAACGACATGCAACGGCATGAGGAAGAAGCATGCCACTTCTGGCATGCAATGGCATGAGGAAGAACACGCCCGCCCAATAGCAAGTTCAATAGGTGCAACAAAACAGGACCTCAAAAATATAGGGGCCCATATTTTTTTATAGCCCAATAGTAATTATAAGCCCATTATCTAATATATTACTAAAGGAAAGCAAAAGGCCGATCAGTTCCTCCGTCTCTTCGCCTCTTCAAGTCTTCGGTTCCTCTGCAGCGTCTAACGGAACCTTTCTCATCTTCCCAATTTGCGATTCATCCTCTTTTTATACCGCAAATAAGCCATCTTCCTTCCTTTGCCGATTAATTCCTCAATTTCTTCTTATTTGGTGAGTTCTTAATTTTATCTCTGTTTTTTTTCCTTCAAATTGACCATGCTACTTTCAATTTCTCAATGAAAATTCAATTTTGCTGAGTTTTTTTGTGCACGGAAGTCAATTTAGGTGGTTTAGATTTGTTTGAAAATTATTTTAGTGTTAGAAATTTATATTTATTTTGCATCTTAAAATCTTAAATGATTCATTTTATCGTTTAATTGTCTCTTAATGTCATTTTGGATAATATTGCTTACCAAGATGTAATTGAAGCTTTTGTTTCAAACAATGTTAGAAGAATAGCTCTTTTTAAGTAGTTTGTATAATTCAAGGTGTAAGAAAATTGTACTATGTACTTCGTCCTTTTTCAAATAAAAATCTAAATGAATTATTTTATTACCTTGAACCGCTCCTTTTTTATATCCGAGAGCCTTGAATTATTGAGTTGCACAGGACCACCTTAATTGATTGGGCGGCACTGAGGAAGAACAACAACATATGAGGAAGGAATCACTCATGCAACACGTACTACACAAATAATAATAATAATAATAATAATAATAATAATAATAATAATAATAATAACAACAACAACAACAACAATAACATGCAACACGTACTACAAAATAACAACAATAATTATGAATAATATTTGCATGAGTGATGCTCATGCATGTAGGTCTCTCTAGCCCAAAATGTAATCCTCCAAACGGGCTAGCGCTTTACGAACTCTCCGTCCTCGTCCCAACTCTGGCGTAACAATACCTTCCCCATCGAAGACCGCCTTGTCCTCAAGGCGTAATTTGGGAAATGTAGCTTGGAGAGTGAGCCAATCCTCCCATGTCGCTTCAGTCGGAGTCATGTTCTCCCACTGGACCAACACTTTAAGTACCTTCTTGCCCGAGATGGGGAAGAGACATTGATCCAAAATCCGGACGGGCTGCGGAAAGTGGGTTGCACTTGCTGGAGGGTGGGTGACCGTGACCGAAGTGGGGTTCGGGCACTCATTCAATAATGAAATGTGGAAGGCTGGATGGATTCGGGCTGACTTGGAAGGACCAATTTGTAAGCCACTTTCCCCACGCGAGACTCAATCTCGTATGGTCCAAAATAACGTTTGGCGAGCTTTTAGTGTCGACGCTTATAAAGAGAGTTTTGACGATAAGGCTACAACTTAACGTACACCCAATCACCCACCTGAAATTCCTTTGCTCGCCGTGACTTATCATCGGCTTGGCTCCGCATGCGTTGTTGTGCTTGTTGGAGATGAAACTTAAGCCGGGAAAGTAAAGCCTCTCGATTGAGAAGGGACCTGTCCACCATAGAGGTTCCAGCCGTGTGTCTAAGCAGTGGAGGTGGGAGACGGCCATACACGGTTTGAAAGGGAGAGAAGCCAGTCGAGCTATTGATGTTAGTATTGTGCCAATACTCTACCCACGGTAGGATGCCTGCCCAACGGATTGGGTTTTCACTGACAAAAGCCCGCATGTACATTTCGAGGCATCAGTTCACTACCTCTGTTTGCCCATCAGTCCGCAGGTGATATGCGGTGCTATGTTTGAGTTGGGTACCTTGGAGACGGAAAAGCTCACGCCAAAAGTGACTCATGAACAATGGATCCCGATCGAAGACGATTGACCTCAGAAACCCATGTAGCCGAATATACTCTTGGATGAATCGCTCGGCTAAAACTGGCGCATCCATCCCCTCTAGGAGTCCCACAAAGTGGGCATATTTAGAGAGTCGGTCGATGATTACCCAAATGACGATTCGGCCTTTTGAATGAGGGAGAGAGGTGATAGAATCCATGGAAATGTCCTCCCAAATTTGCTCTGGTATGGGTAGCGGCTGAAGCAACCCTTTCGGCCCTTGATTTTCCGGCTTAATTTGTTTACAGATTGCACATTCACGGACATGTTTTTTAACATCGGCGTGCATTCCCGGCGAGTAGAATTTGGCCGCAAGTCGCAAGAAAGTCTTGTGCTCCCCAGAGTGGCCTTCTAATAAGGAATCATGGAAGATAGTCAGTAGTGGAGTATGAATGGAACCCCCTGCTAGTACATACAACCGTCCCTCAAAAAATAATAGCCCATTCTGCCACTGGTAACGGCGGTCTTCCGACATCGGGGGCTGCCATCGCCTTGTGACTGGGTCATCCTTGAGTCCTTCCCGAATATTTGTGACAACATTGGTAGATGTGGTCGATATTGCTAACAACGTTGGACTGGGCTCCACCGACCAGCGGGATAAGGCGTAAGGGACATTGTTGGTCACCCATGCCCGGTACTCAATAGTGAATTTTAACCCTAGAAGTTTGGTGAGCCAACGCTACTGCTCTGGCGTCTGGATGACCTGGGATGTGAGTTGCCAAAGGCTTTGGTGGTCAGTGATGATTAGAAATGGACGTCCCAATAGATACGAACACCATTTCCCCACGGAAGCGGTTATGGCATTCATTTCCCGACTATACGTGGATGCCTTCTGGTAGCGGGCTGGTAGCACCTTACTGAAATAAGAGATGGGGTGTCGTTCTTGGGAAAGAACAGCTCCTATGGAAGTACCTGGTGCATCTGTCTCGACGGTAAAAGTCCGGTTGAAATTAGGTGATTGAAGCACCGATGTGGTGGTCATCGCGGCCTGGAGTTCACGGAATGCGCGTTCCGCCCCCTTGTCCCCAACTGAATCCCCCTTTTTTAAGAGATCGGTCAGTGGTCTCGCAATTGAAGCATAGCCTTTCACAAATCTTCGGTGGTATCCTGTCAGCCCGAAAAACCCGCCCACGACAGTGACTGTTTTGGGCATCGGGCAATCCATTATTGCCTGGATTTTCTAGGGGTCAACGGACACCCCCTTTTTTGAGATGGTGTGGCCCAAGTACTCCAGGGAAGATTGCCCGAAGCTGTATTTAGACTCTTTAGCATATAATCCAAAACCAAAGTCAAATGTCAGGTATGTTCCTCCACCGAAGAGCTGAATACTAGGATGTCATCTATAAACACCAACACAAATTTTCGGAGGTATGGTTTGAAAACCTCATGCATGGTCGATTGGAAAGTGTCCGGAGAATTAGTGAGACCGAATGGCATAACGAGAAACTCATAATGCCCCTCGTGTGTGCGGAATGCCGTTTTTGGTATATCGGGGGGATGAACCCGAATCTGATGATAGCCACTTCGGAGATCCAACTTTGAAAAGATGACTGCACCATATAGTTCATCTAGTAGCTCATCGATCATTGGCATCGGGAATCGATCTTTGATTGTGATTGCATTCAAAGCACGATAGTCGATGCAGAACCGCCATGTTCCATCCTTTTTCTTTACTAACAACACCGGGGAGGAGAAAGGGCTCATGGAGGGACGGATAAACCCTTCCTGAAGCATGTCTTGGACGAGGCGTTCAATCTCATTCTTTAGGAAGTAAGGGTAGCGATATGGTCGCACATTAACAGGCTTCGCTCCGGGAATTAATGGAATTTGATGGTTGTGCGGGCGGTCATGTGGCAGCCCTTTTGGAACTTTGAACACCCCTGCATATGTGTGAAGTACATCTTGGAGAGACTTTGGTAGTGGGACAGGTGATCCTGGGCATGACACAGTGGTTGATTGGATTATGAAGCTTTGCGCTACTGATTTCTTCCGGCATAAACGGGTAAATTGGTGGCAGGAGATAGGTGTTGGGGTGGAGTTTGGGTTACCCTTCAATAATACTGTCTGCCCGTTGTGCTGGAATTCCATGGTTAGGTTTTTATGATCCGTCGTAACTCGTCTCAACGTCTCCAACCATTCGATGCCAAGAATGACATCGGCTCCCGAAAATTGTAGGGCATGGAAGTCTGCCACAAACAAGGACTCTTGAAGATAAAAGGGTACCTGGCGTACAGTTCCCTCACTACGTAGCCGTGCACCATTTCCGACCGCAACTTCGAAACTATCTCCGGCATCCAACTCTAGTCGTAAGTGCTTGACAATCCGAGGTTGGATGTAGTTGTGTGAACTCCCCGTGTCCACAAGTGCGGTGAATTGCTGCCCTTGAATAGTGGTGTTGAGGCGAAACGTTTGAGGCCCTTGGATTCCTTCAAGTGCATGAAGTGAAATAGCCGGAACATGATCGTTATCACCTCCCTCCTCGGAAGCCGTTGATCCATCTTCGGGGAGGAATGCATGTAAACACTCCGCTTGCTCCGTGGTGTCCTCCTGCTCGGGGTCAGCCACTAATAGTAAAAACTGTTTGTTCGGCCAACAGCGATGTCCCGGAGTATACCTCTCATCACAATTATAACATAATCCTTTAGCGCGGCGTGCTTGCATCTTTGTAGGTGTGAGTTTTTTGACATGTAGGGAGGAACTCATCCGGCGATCATGATTGGAAGTTAAGTTTGGGGGTAGTGGCGTGGTAGTAGTGGTTTTGTTTGGTGTGGGTTTCAGATTTGAGGGTTTGATGGTGGAGGGTGGGGTTTGTTAAAGTTTGAGGGGGGTAGAGGGGTAATTTGGCCAAGTGGGGCGTTTGGGGTTAGTAGTGGCAACTTGTTTTTCCTCTATTAATTTAGCCAACCCTATGGCATTGGCTAGGGTAGTGAGCATGAGGATGTTGAGTTCGGATTGAATGTTCGGCTTGAGTCCCAAGATAAAACAATCCAAAATGGCTTGGGGTGACAAATCGTTCACACGGTTGCACCCCATATCAAATTTCTCTTGATACGCCATGATTGTGGTGTGTTGAGAGAGCTTGAACAAGGTTGCTCGGTGGTTCACATAAGTGGACGGACCGAAGCGTTGCTCTAACGCGGTTGCAAACGCTCCCCATGATGACAATTGTTGGTTCCGATGCATCCATTTGTACTAGGGGTGGGTTCGGTTTTGGCGGTTCGGTTTTTACCCAAAACCAAAGACAAAACGGAAGGTAAGTTGGCGGTTCGGTTCGGGTCGGTTTTGCATAAAAAATATGTAAACCGTTGGTTATTCAGTTCGGTTTTAAGCGGTTTTTATTTTGGTTTTTTTCGGTTTTTTCGGTTT